AGATTTCCCAAGTACAGTATTCATTAAGTGATACAATATTGTAAACCATAGATTTGCAATGGATTTTTTCAGAGGCAATACGAGAATTTTTTTGTTACTGCACTACTACACGTCCTTAACTAACTATACCTTAATTTAGATGTTCATTAACCTGGAATTAATTAGGAATAATTTAAACTGAATGGTTTAGGTGAAATATAACTATACTAAAAGAACAGAAAGAATCTTTTAGGACAGATTAGATTTAAATTAGACGTTTATTGTTGTACTGGCAATTTGTGTTATAGAACACCCCCTCTATTTTCTAGCTTTGTTGAGTGTTTAACCCCAACTAGTTGAAAACTACATATTTCAGCTGGAATATACATCAATTATGGTATTATCAACTAATTGTAGAAGTTGAATCCCTTGTTGCCAACATAACCTCTAGAACCTCTAGAATAGTAATTTGTTAAGTAATCCGGAAGGCAACACCACCAACAAGTATTATTAAGTACTATACAATTTTAGTACAATATACAATTTTCTAACAATGCATTGAGCGATTTTTCTGATCTATTTGCAAAACAGGTTTAAACAATCGCTCGTTTTCCGTTTTTTACCTAATAATTTCCACCAACAAACTAAAACAACCTACTTCTATAGCAACAAGTTTAGCTTAACATTAGGTGTAGGAAAATGTGACGCTCTTCATATGAAAAAAAATCCTTGTGCCTAATGATGAATCAATATTTGATCCGAAACTAGTTGCGACTGCAATTGAATGGATTGCCTAATAGCAGGTATTAAAACCTTTTTATTATTATTTGGCAATCTGGAGGCTAACATCACAATGAAATTAGGTGTGATATTTTTATGAAAGTATCCCAGATAAACCTAACATGGTATATTACGTTGACAGGATATAAAGCAAAGCACTTGACACTTCCAATGAAATGTCTTTGTACACAAAGGTTGGCTGTAACAGCGCAAATTGTTGGCGCCAAATCTCATCTAAAATCGCAAAAGATTGATCGAGTTTGGTGATGTATTAGCTCCACTGATCTTTTGATAAATTATCAGCTTTTCAACACTCTTCCAAAGAGAGTTCTTTACACTTTAATTATTTGTCACAGCGTTTCCATTACGTCTAAAGTACTTATGATCATGACTGTATGAAAATGATTTCAGGTAAATAGGCCATTGATCTTTTTGTTCAATAACTTGTAATATGTAATTGTTATAATTATAGTTATTTAACGTTTTTGAATCCAGTTACGAGTGGGGCATTGTTGACAAAAGGAGAACTACAGTAAAATCATGCTTTTATTCAATCGTTTTCTACAGCTTTAATAGTAGGCCTAAGGATATTTACTTCTGTTTTAGTAATCGGGCATAAAATTACTAAAATATTTGCAGACATGTCTCCTCTGAATCCGTATTGATATCACTGGCAATATGGTGTTCATAAGAATAATAAATTTCTATAAATAATAGAATTTTCAAATATTTGTAAAGAATAGTATTTATTTATTCAAAGGACGTAAGAGTTTCTGCAGTCCGTAGCAAGTTCCTTCTTTAATGTGGATCTATGATAAGTTTAATTTGGGGTATTCGGGTTTTAGAAACCTAAGTAAATACCTTTTAGTATACGAGTTAAATAACACTTGCAAATAATATTTTACTTAAACACATCTTTTCGATTAAATTTAATAGATTTTTTAAGGAGGTGCAGCTGGTATCGTGGCGGAGAACTGTCTGGGAGATGTAGGTTTTAATTTGAGTCTTTTTTATCTAGGAACAAAAAATAATATATGGAGGACCAGGAAAACTACATATTTATTGGAAAATTCCTTCCACTAAAACTGATACGAATACCAATAATTTGATTCGTCAAACAAACTTCCCCGTTGAACTAAAAGGTCGAAGAATTTGGTTAAGCACATGCAAACATTAGACAATATCACTTTGTGAAATCACTTAACAAAAAACAAACTGACAACTGTTAACATTGAATATTAAACTCGAATGGAACGTAAAGGGAGTTTGAGAGCTCTTCGCAGTTGTAAATGGCCAACGCTTTCCATGAAAACGCTCTTAAGAAAATCCTCTGAAATCCGCGCATTGTGCTCGACAATAGTCCGGATATTCGGCGATACAGACGATGTTTCCGTTGGTGCTTTATTGGTAATTCACTTCTCAGCTCAATCTGTCTGTCCACCATACAGTTTCCAATTGTGTTGTAGTAGATTTATTGTTTAATTCCATTGCGTGGATGAAATAAAATAATTTACACTGCAGACTTATGTAGAATCAAATTGCCTTTCCGAATCAAATTTGGGTTAAATTTTGTTTAAATAGATAAAAATGATTTTGAAATCTATTTGGCCTGTACGAAGTACTTAATCCATTACGCTATTTTCCCTTTGGATTTTTTGTAGTTAAATTAGTACAGGGAACACTATTTATACAAAGTACAAGATGGTTTATTAGGAAAGCAATACCCGTCCTACTAAAATTTTTTGAATATTTTATTATTTAAAAACTTGTATACGTACTGTTTTTATTAAAATAATCAACCTAATGGAATACTCAACTTCCATAGATCAAATAGGTTGGATTATTGTGTACCTTTTTTGGTTAATTTATAGAAAAAAATTAGAATTTCGACCAAATATATAACCTCATCGCATTTATAATGTTAATTTAGCTATATTAAGTTTTATGATAAACAATCAATGATTTTTTGCAAGAAATTCATGAATCTCCGTCCTTTTAAGTCGTGGATTATTATTGATCTGTAGTCGTTCCTTAAGCAAAGCACATTGCACTTTTATCAAAAGGGTTTCACTGAGTTTTCCTTTGCTATTGTTTTTCCTCTTTATTCATCTTGGACGTATATTTATAAACTCAACACGCATTTCCCAGATTATATCATAAACACATCCTTCCCTATAAAGACGTATTTACAATCCCCGCCAGCATCAGAGCCGTATTTAGCCGACGTCTGGGACGCCTCTCTCGCAGGAGATGTTTGTAGAGATCAGCTGGCACCTCCTACTGTCTGTCATAACATCAGCTGTTACACTCTGGACACAACTGGCGGCAAAACATAACTCCAGGTCGGGTTACAGACAGAGATTGTGGCGGGACTGGGGATGTAAGCATTAATGTATAATTTATTTCTTTACCAGATGTAATGAAGATGATAACTATTTTCTTGCTGTTTTAAAGTTATTATTCGTCTTTAAATTACCTATTTATAAACTTAGATCATGGTATATCAAAGGGTACTAAATAAGTAATTTTAAGGACCTAAACTGGCTTAATGTTACACATATGTTTATTCCCGTTTAGGTCTTTAGTTAAAATAAAGTTTAAATAGAAAATATTTTATAGGGAATTAACAGAATTGTCCTGTCTCAAATGTAAAAAAATAATTCATCTTCTCAATCCAAACGAAAGATCGCTAATTAACCTGTTTAAGCTCAAGGGTTAGTTACTTAACCTAATTTAAACCGAGAAATTGTTTCTTGGAAGTGAAACTGTAGGTAGATAAAGTAGATCTTTATCTATGGCCAGATTTTGAAATAGTTTGGAGTAAATTGAACTTAGTTTTATATATTCTTCTTGAGTTTTTTATCGTCAGCTGTCCGGCAAATGTACGCACAACTGCATGCGTTGTGGGCTTAAAGTAGCTCTTTTTCTCCCTCGGGAGTATAAATATGCTGCTGTAAACTTCGATTGTAAGCAAGCATAGGTGTATTTTCAATCCTTACTAATTTTCGTGAAACTTGATCTCGGATCGAAAAGATTCACTTTATGCCCTGGTTATGACGTATACTATAGTAAATATTAAGTCGCTTTTAATACTTTAAGTGTAAACATCGTTGCTATTTTGGAGAGTCACATGACTTCACTGTGCGGGAGTCGAATCACCCTAAAGAACACTATGTATCAATGCCGGAACATTTTAGTAAAATAAGTGGCATAGTTTGGGCACTATTCACTGCCTTAAGACCATGAATCTATAATTATTAATTTTTGAAACCTTTCCATGAAGCTGCAGCAGTTTCCTTAGATCCATAAACATTAACTTAAAAAATTCACAGGTGAGTTAATGTAAGCAATAAAAAATAAAGCGTAAACAGTTGTTATGCCTACATGTAACTGCCGGACAAACAGTGGTGTTAAACTTCAACTGAATCAGTCCACTTGTTTTTGTGTTATAGAAAGACAAGACAGACACCTATTTTTTGTAATAGTAGGGATAAAACGGAAACATTTCAACTGAACCGTGATACCAACGTGACAAGTAACTTAAGTCACCCTTTCTAGACATGTGCTACTGATGAAGATAGGGTGTCGTAAAAACACTCAAAGGGTTGTTTGTTCGCAAGGAGCAAGTAATCCCTACAAAGAAGGTCCTTGGATTTAATTTATAGGAGAACTTCAGTGCTTCGTTTTATAACTGCACAAAGTTATTAATTAAATAAGTAGTGTATCAATCACATACAAAAATCCAAGTAACGATTTGTATTTGGTCAATGAGCACCTTTACCTAAAATGGAACTCTGTGTTTAACAAGTGTATATGGAGTGTAAAATCAATATGTATACACTTTGATGTTACATATAAAATTATAGTACTCTATAGTTTATAGTACGTGTATAGTCAATGATATATTTTAAAGCCCCATAGTAATCAATATTGATAATATTTGCGAATGGGAATTCAATGCACCCAACAAGAAAGAATCCTGGGGCAGTTTAAATTATATCTAGGTAAAATCAAGTGAAGCCTTGTTTTGGGGTAATTTTTGTTACGAGGTTTGACGAATCTTTGACAAAAACGACCTTTGTCTAAAACCCAAGCCAAAACAGAGGAATTTTTATAAATTGTATACAGTTCAAGATGACTAAATGGACTATAATGTACCGCTACTGTAACTTTGTTTACTTTCTCCAAAGCAAGGATGAAACTACGAATAAATGTACACAATCTTTACGATATCGACTTACCTATTGCAATGACTCTATCTGAAGATATCTTCTCGCTTCTGGAACAAAAATTTAAATTTAAGCAACTTTGAGATTGATAAAACCATTAATTCTTATATAACAGTAAAGTTCCTAACAAACAAGACAGTATAATCCTCACATAATCTTCTTGGTGTCAAATATACTGTTACTTATGGTTAGATATGTATCATTAAAAAGGTAGAATTGAAAGGTTACGACGTTTTAAATCGAATCAAACTGAAAGGATTGTGTCATTTGATGCACAGCATTCAAATTTCGTGTTGCGATGCATATAAAGGCTTTTGGTAATTCATTACATCATGACAAACCTCAATTACCATTTTGATTATTAATTACATAATTATTTATCCATTCAGTAGGTAGTGATGATTTCAACTAACAATAGTTTCACAACAGAAACAAGTAAAAATAAAACGTTGAACATTTTAAGATCATATTAACGAAAGTATCCATTCTAAGGCAATTGGAATTGAAACGTTTCATCGGAGCGTAGAAACAAACATAAACCAGCAAAGATTTATTGTATTTCCAATAACTTAGGCTTACATTCGCCGTACACCGTTCCGGTAGTTAAATGCGTCCCGACCACATAAATGTTCGCCGTTCGATCGCTTATAAAGCTTTACCCCAACTGGGACTACTGCGGTGAGCACTTTTGAATTTTGAGTAGTCGTCTATTTGGATTCCAATTAAATATGAGGCAATTTTGTAATTACAAGAAATTCCTTACGGAATTAGAATAACAGACTCTTGCCAGTGTAAAAGTTTATGTGAATAAATCTGTTAATATGTAGACTCATAACTGGAGAAAGTTAGACGGAGTTTCTTGGAATAACCGTTGTCAATGAAATTACAATTAAGGTTACTGAAGTTGACATACCATCTTGGATTAGCAGAAGCCAGAGTTGCACCCATAGAATATTTAGTGCACAGAAATGAGTTTCTCATCTAGTTTTCACTGTAGAAGTTATATTTTCTCTATTAGTTGTACGACTTTATTATGGAAGTTGGAATGCTCTTATCAACTAAGAAAGTGTACAAAAAAAGGAAAAAAAATGTTTACCATCATTATAAACAGTTGTTATTTTCTTATATATGTTTTATATCGTCGACATTAATTTAACTTAGCATTTGACCAACTTCATTGGCCACAAAGGCATGAGCATGGAATTTACCAAGCTATGGAAGGAGTGATACAGTAGAGAGGATGAAACAACTTTACTTATAGATTTGTCAAATTTGTGTAAAAAAACTAAACAATTGACATTTTTTTATTCAGTTCAAATACAAGTATTGACACCAAAACTCGAATCAAAAACATCGCACATATTTTGACAGACCAACCTATTCACTAAAACCAACTCTGCCAGTGGGTCAATTACACTAAGATCTCCTTACTTAAAACACTAGCAAAAATAATAAATAAAGACAACAATATTCACACAGGAATTTAAAGTAAATTTTTACATCTGTGTCCATATTTCAAAGGTTTTGTCAAACAAAGGCCGCGCGGAATATTGAACCACTTAATTGACAGTTAGTTGCCCAGGGACGGGCAGAGATAATGATATTTACTCGGTCAGTTGTTACAGTTTGTTTTATAACCACAGAACAAAGACAGGTTGTCAATCAGCAAGCCAGGTGCGACGGAGTCAGTGATTTAAAAACTGTAATTGGATTTACATTTGATTAGCAACCAATCAAGTCACGGCCTGCGTTGTAAATAAATTAAATCGCTGCAAAGAAACTGAGTTTACAGGTAAAATATATTTTACTCGTCAGTTATATTGTAATTGTATACTATTTATCCATTAAAAATTAACCGTAAAAGGTGTACGAGAATAGTGAAAAGAATACTGACTTAGTTCTTTTTTACTTTTTTTTTATTTTTTCTCCAGGGAAAAAACATTTTTCTCTCATCAGTCGATTTTGTTTTAGTCTCTTTAGTGCTTCAGTCTCTGAGATTTGCTTGTTTACCTAATTAACAAAGTCATGAAGTCTCTTTGTTATATTTGCGATTACCATGAATAATTTTATCTTGGCCACTCCGTAGTGTATTATTAGTTTAGATTTTTTGAACAAAGATTGTTTGTCAGACTTGATAGGATAAGTCTATTGTTTATTCGAAGTCTAATTCCCCTTCTGACTGTTGCAGGATTTGCAATTATTCTGCGATTGATTATTATAATACAGTAGGCTATACAAAACATGTGGCGGATGACTGATTGATGTAAAAGCTTAAAATTAGATAACTAAAGTGTAAATTTTACTTTCATGTTTTTGAAGAGAGTATTTTGCTATGGTCTGTACTATTTTATGTAGTTCGAACTAGAACTCAAAACTAGAAATTAATGTTAAGTGATATCTCTTAAAAAGGTTAAATTTAATTTTTTAAATTAATTATCTTTTTAGTAATACGAATCATCAACCTAACACCCTATCTTGACCACCTTGCAATAATCTTCCACTTTACAGCCACAAAAACCACTTACAAATCTAATTATATTCCAATGTCGTATTTTTTTACCATTTAAAACAAATAATATCTAATTTCCTGAAATTTACATATTTAGTCAATTATTTTTGGTCCCTGAGTTGTTGCCTAAGAAGGACGAAATATTAGTGCAGTAGCATTATTTGTATACACAACTTGTAGAAAAACAACTAAGGCAGAGGTGTACACATACATAAAACAGCATAACTGTCAGTCTGCATTACCTTTTGCATTTCCTACGTACCACTCGAGTCTTACATTACCATAAACTCTCTCCAAAACAGGATGGATGTGACGTTAGGAATACTGAAACCTGGTAAAATATCAAACTCAAAATTCCATCTAGTGATGACTCATCAATATCAATTGTAGATCTTTTTTTTGTTGTTTATACTATCAAAATTGTATGGTATTTATTTTAGTGTATTTTTTCAATAACGTAAAATCCTTTGCTGAACAAAAATCTGAATGTTTTATAACTATACCATTTTATTTTTAATGACGTTTAGAAATAAAATAAGAAATAGTATTTAAATTACGCCATACTGAATTTAAGTAATTATTAATCTCACCAAAAACCATGGATTTCATATCAAATCAGTACCATTAAGGTTGAAACTTTAATGCGCTTAAACATACTGGGTTACACGCTAACACCATTTAAGAGTAACAATAAAACAACAAATTGTAGTATCTGACACAGTTTAAAACAATTATAAAAGAATAAGAATTGGTTTTTTAGATTAGTTAACACTAACCATCGTGGTATTAAAGGCTAGGAAGGACTAAAATCTAGCAAAACTATCTAACATGTTTATTTGATTGTTTTGTTTTTAACTGCACTACACTATTAGCAGTATACGTTAGACGTACTGTGCCCGTTCGCAGTATTTTGAGTTTCATTCTATTGAAATTCTTCATTGCATAAGATAAAACACACAACACTACCCAAATCTATAAAAGAAACCTCTTCCTAATTACTTAAAAACGTGACTTCAGAAAATGAGTTTATCGTCGCGTTAAACAAGGCCAATCATGTTGTGCCACAGCCCACATGAAAGGCCTAATAAAACTGTCGGCCATTTATGAGGTCTGGCCCGATTGAACTATTGAACGGCTATATATCTAGGCCGTTAGCCAGTAAATCTTGCGTTTACAGCAGACTGTATGCATGGGTTTATTGAACAACTGTTCTCCCATTGTTGTTCCAATGCGGACCACTTTGTCATATAATGGCTTTACAACTTCTACTGCGATTTGTGTTATTTTCCAACACAGTACGATTCCGCATCCCCCATACATACATAGAGACGATCTCTTTAAATAGTTCCACATGATTTTTGCCACAAATGCTTTTATTTTTATTTATTAATCCTCGGATTTCATATCCTCGTTATTATTAAAATACCACACCACAGCAAACCTGCAGACTATGCTGATTTCAATTTTTCTCATTGGATTTTAATTAAAATATTTCCATTAATAAACCATATTTATTCCCTATTAAAAAACACTTAGGTTTGCTAAGGGGTAGCTATTCGTTGCAACTTTGCACTCATTATACAGTTTCTTATCCTTCAAGCATCCTATAAATGAAGTATCGTTGAAACGCTTAACAAACAAGATTTCCCAAGAAACCAAAAATATATTGTATGGTTGTCTATAAAGTAATCTTTAACATTTACCTACACTTTTGGTAGATAAAAACTTTCTGCGCAGTGTCTTTCAGATAGGCCTGTTCTAAACCAAGATAGATTCTTAAACCGTGTAGTTTATTTAACAGTTGTCCCTTCAATATCCAACATGCATACAGCCTAGGAGGTTAATACAGACTATTATTCCCAGAACCAAACAAATTAGTTTGAAAAAATTACGGGTGGCTTGATCTAAATTTTGCATTACTATTGTTCAAGGGCCAATAATAAGAACATAGTTCTAGTTTAACTAAACACATATACGTGTTATACAATTTTAAAAGTATCTGCGATTGTGTTAAAAGCTACAATCTGCTCCAAACTTGAGGTGTGCCAATTGTGCGTTTAGTGAGGAAACTTCCTTAACGACTGTTAAGAATTTGCATATTCAAAACTTGGAAAGTTGAACGGTATACTAAGTAGGAATGTTTCTTTAATAATTCGTAAAATATTTTAAACATGATTTTCAAACAATTTAGCTTAAGATACGTTTCCAGGATTAAATCAACCTATGTCAAACGTTTGGTATTACACGTATACAGTTTAACCAATTTAGATATAATAAAATAGTTCATCAATTGTTAAATGCGCGCTTTGACCCAAATATATTAGCTTGGTAAATTAATAGCTCAGATGGTCAAATTAATTATAATTATACATTTAATTAATGTTCAAAGAGTTTTCATAAATTTATTTCTTAACTAAAAATCAGGCAAGAACTTAGAATTCAATTTTAACTTACTGATAATTTTCTTTATAACTAAACTTACTACAACATTGTCACAGAAACGTGTGTTGAAATTCATACTTGTATTCGTAAGGTTTTACT